GAACTTTAAGGCCAACATGATGAGTAATAATCAATTTAAAATCAATGTTGAGCAAGAACAAGATTACAGAGAATTAACAAGAAAAATAAATGAATCTAGAGTAGAGTGGCGTACCTACGAAAAAAATTGATGTATTTCAGCACATGAATATTAAAATTGAGACACTAAGAAAAATAATTTAGTTCCTCAGGGCAGAAGGTGTCAGAGATATGAACACACACAGAGGTTTAGCCAGCGTCCAGCTCAATGTGCCAAGTATGCTGCTCATTTAACGATAAATTGTAGTAAGCAAAAAATTGATGCTCCAAATTGTGGAAATTGCTCTGAGGCACATCCTGCGAATTACAGGGATTGTATAGTCGCAAAGGAATTACAAAAAAGGAAAAATAGCCTTACAAAACAGAAACAGATAAAAACAATGCCAAAAAATACTTCCAAAACCCCAAAAACCCCAAAAAAAAACTAAATTGAGTAAAAGAGTGCAGGGAGTACCATATGCCCAAGTGGCGAGGGGTGAAACATATAACCATACCAAAGAACGAAGAGATCTACCACCTCAAAAACCTGCTGAAAGCAATACAGATATAATGCAAATGATGGAAAATATGATTAAAAATATGAACGCAATGTCATTGAGGTTGAACAGATTAGAAGACATGCATGATAATGTTTATGTACATATGTACGAAAAAAATGGACAAAGATAAAATAAGAATTGCGACTTGGAACGCAAATGGCTTTCTTAATAAAAAGCGTATGTTAGAAATATTTCTAAGGACCAATTATATGAGCTATTTTGATAAGGAATAATATAAAACATAATAAAATAAGTAAAGTAGAAAGAGACGATAGCCAATTTGTTGCTGTACGAATAGAGTTTTAAAAACAAAATTTCGTTCTTTACTATCCTCCAGGACGTGTTATAAAGAGTGGTTCATTCAAAGATCACCTGAGTCTCCTTAAAGAAAGGTTTATTCTGGGAGGTGACCATAATACCAAACATATTGATTGCGGCTCTAGATTAACTTCCACAACAGGTAGAAAGAGATTGGTTGTCACTAGCAATCCACTGGTAGACCAACATATTGGCCAAGTGATAGAAATAAGATACCAGATCTGCTACACTTCTTTCTTGTCAAGAAAATCTCGCCAAATTTCATTAGTTTAAAAGATAACTATGATTTGGATTCGGATTATTCTGCAATTATATTAAATTTAACTGAGACAGTTACCAAGAAACAAAATAAACCTATGTTAATTCATAAATCCACTGACTGGACTAGTTTTCTTTAAAACTAGATAGAGATGGAGAATAAAATAAACTTAAGAGTCAAAATATAAACCCAAGATGATTTAAATTCTGTGGTGGAGAATTTTAATAAAATCATACAAAGCGCTACCTGGAATAATACAAAACAACATGAGTATAAATGCGTGGGTATGACTTACCCAAGAAAAATACTGAATATAATAAAAAGTAAAAGAGAAGAGTTATTTTGGCAATTTTGGCACAGCCTTTTGACAGGGTTTGGCACGAAGGATTAATATACAAGTTAGAAGATATATTACCAAGGCAATATGTAGATATTCTCTGTTCTTATTTAACCGACAGATTATTTAGAGTCCAACAGGAGGGGGACTATTCCACACTTAGAGAAATAAGAGCAGGTGTGCCTCAGGGCAGTATTTTGGGTCCAATACTATATCTACTCCTTACGAGAGATGTGCCTCAAATAGAAAACACAATTGTGGCTACATATGCTGACAATACTGCTATTATGGCAGTAGCATCAAATATTGACGGCGCCGCAAGAAAGTTCCAGCAAGCAAGCAATAGTTTTGATGCTTGGACCAAGAAATGGAAAATAAAAGTAAATGAAACTAAGTCTTAACAAATTTTACAAATAAAGTTCTTGTAAACCCCCACGTGTTCATTAAAATGTGGTAAATGTTGCGCAGGAAAATGCGGCAAAATATCTAGGAATGACACTGGATGTTAAAAAGAAAAAGGCAGAATTAAAATATAAAGAAACGTATTGGCTCCAAGGTCGCGATTCAAGGTTGCCGATACAGAATAAGACCCTGCTCTATAACCAAATTATTAAACCGGTTTGGTTGAATGGTATCCAGTTGTGGGGATGTGCCAAACAAATAAACAAATAAATGTCCAGCGAATACAAACGTTCCAGAATAGGGTTTAGCGGAATATGGTGGATGCTCCTTGGTATGTGCGAAATGAATATTTGCAAAGAGATCTAAAGATTCCATGTGTAGTTGACAAAATTCATGAAAGGGCAGTGAGGAATAGAGTTCGTCTGGAGCAACATGTCTACGTAGAGGCCTGTCGGCTCCTTGTTATCCGTAATTTTTCCAGAAGGCTAAAGAGGGCTTTCCCTTCTGATTTAGCGCAAAATGCGCTTCACCAAATCGAGGAGCATTGAATCTCTTTCAATCTATATTAAAGAAAATTTGATGGTTGGTTTAAGAGAACTGGTATCAGAATATAAGGAGGAGGTTTTTGTGGTAAAACACATAACTAACTATGGGTTACCAGGGAATGGCATGTTAGTAGCATTCATGCTTTCCTCCTTCCTTAAAATAAGTAGTCAAAAAATGGCATTTTTTGGTCTTTGAGGGCCTATAACTTTTAGAGGGGTAAAAAGTTTCTTCTACGGTAAAGATCTATGTACGTATGAAATATTAGCTTTATAGACGGACGGACGGACTGACGGACAGACGGACGGAGAGACGTGCAGAGTGAAACTAATAAGCATTTTTTTTTCAAAATTTTTTTTGGAAAAGTGCTAAAAAACGGTGTTAAAATAGTAATATTTTAAAAACGAAATCGTTATAATATAAGCAAAACCATCTAATTAATGTTATTATGTTCTTTAAAAACGTAAAGGATGGCCCCTGTCACGGTCCAACATTTAATTTGGCTCGGTTCTTAGTTCATCTTGATAACTTTATTGGCTTTTAAGGGATAAAGGTTTTTCAAAATTTATAAATTTTTACCTTTGAATTTTTAAGTTTTTATCGTCCTTCAAGCACATTTTGGCCAAAAATAGTAGAACAAAAGTTTATGACTAAAGTTAATTTCCTAATATGACTGTAGTGACGTTTTCTACAACGTTTAAATTTCATAATTTTCACACAAATAACAAAAAACTTGCAGGAGAGCAAAATTAACGTAAATGATTTGATTACATTTCAGTGAAGTGTCCTACAGAAGGTGTTCATTACAATATAGTCTTTTTAACGTGTTTCCAAGGTTTATATACACATTATGTACACTGGCATCTTTGAGGGCGCCAGAGGAACCCATTTTGCTATTTATTCAACCGAAATTTTAATTTTTTTTAAGAATTCTATATTTTTTTCGATTATTTAATCGGTTTTCTGAAGTAATACACATACATACTTTAAAAAATTAAGTAATTTAAAAAACATCAATTCATTGTACATACATAGATTGAGACGTCTTAGCGTAAAAAATCAGCAATTAAAAAAAACTTACTACAAGTCCCCTATATCACAAGTGAAAACCTTAAATTTAAAAAAACGGAATAATTAAAAAAGTTTTAAAATAGATTTTTTCTGTCGGTCTATCTGTTTGTGAGTGCACGCGTGTATCTCAAGTTCAACTAAACCGATTTCCTTGAAATTTAAATTTGGAGTGTTGAAACAATGAACATATACATTTTTTGGAACGACCTGGGCTCGGACACCAAACTGGCGGCCGATTTTACATTTTTTACCATATTTACGAAAGAGATTGATGGAGTATAAACTTACTAATGCCTTAAAAATTGGAAAGAAGTGTTTAAAAGCCATTTTTATAATCTCCTGTAACACTTTCACTTAACTAGAAAATACACATGGCGGGCGGTTAAGTCTGAACATATCAGATTTTTGCTTTGCAATTTGAATTTTTATTCAATCACCTTTGTTCTAAAAAGTTTAAATACACATTATATCCATTTCAATTACGATTAATTATTTGAATTATAAATATGAGAAAACTACAAAACTTAAAGTCTTAAATTAATGATATTCAATTACAGCTACTTCCTTTTATATACTCTCAGCACAGTTTAATTAGTGCTATATATTATATAAAACTTAAAACATATGATTGCGTTCCATTTAAATATGTCAACAAAAAATATATATTTTTCACCTGACTGGAACATTAATACGAGTGTTTACACCATTTTACTTACCTATATATGAATTTTTTTTTTGTTTAATATCGAATTCAATAAAAATTATTAAGTAAAATTTTTAAATTTTATTTCACATTTCTGTTATTAAAAATTCAATTCACACATTAAACCATTGTCTTAAACCAAAATTTTATCGTGTTTATGTAATTATGATCCGAGAAAAAATAAAATTTCCCAAATGCTTGAAGAGCTGACGGAATGTTATAAAGAGCAAAAGTTCTGTAATGAAAATTATAAAATATTCTTATAAAAACAAACTTATATCCATATAACTTATTTGTAAATACAAACAAAATCACTTCTATTTCTGGAAAAAATTATCACAAAAAAGCTCACTATAATAAAAACCCAATTATTGCACGAAATCTTAAATAAAGGAAAATTAATTTAATTAATTTTTAATATGGCTTCCTTCACTTTTTAATATTTTGTGTACATTTAATAATTACGTTACTCCATTGTGAATTCATCATTAATAAATTGTAGTTCTTAATTACATTTTAATTATCTTGTTTACATTTATGTACAAATATAACATAAGAATTCATAAGTCACGCAATACTTTCAAAATGATAAAAAATTGTCCTTTTTGTAATCCTCAAACACATTAAAATTATATATCAGTGGGAAAAAATATTTTCAATGAACATAAATTATTAATTTCACTTGTTTTTAAATTTTATTGAATAATAATTTTTTATATTTTGTATACTTAAAATAAAAATAAATTTATAAATGAATTATATATATTAACAATGAATTTTCCAACTTAGATCACGAAAAATCTTTTAATTCAGCATTATTAATTTTCCATATCAATAGCTCAAATAACAAAGCTATAAAAGCAATCTTATTTCCAATAATTAATAAATAAAATGGAAATAAAAAATTATCAAATTTTAATATAGGCATCCAGTATTTCTCATCAACTTCAATATATTTGAAATTTTCACTTTGAAAAGATTCATAAACACTGTCTCCGTACATCCATTTATCATAAATCCCTGATTCTATTAATCTTGTATAGCAATCTTCAAATGATTCCATGTACGGACTATCAATATGCATAGGATAGCCGACTAAAATTGGTGCAATTGTTGTTTTTTTTGCAATTTTCATAAGAGGTCTTTTTAATTTATTTTGTTGAGTCAAATATAAATTTGATGTAATTTCTGGAACAGTGTAACTATAATTTTTATTTAGTATTAAACGATTTTTGTGTAAAGTTTTCATATCAACTGGATATAATAGATTATTATATTTTGGAAATAATGTTATGTCGTTGTGTAAAAATTCTATCTCTTGATCTAATGTCATAATTTTTAAATTTGCGCTCTCAATATCATTAATTGAATCAATTTGTTTTTCAAATACTTGACTTACAAGAAAACTTGATAGTATAGCCAAATATATATTAGTTATTATAAAACCATAAATCCAATATAAAAGATATATCAAACGGTCTCTTAAGTTTGAATCACATTTAAGTTTATAAGAGTTTCCACTTAAAATCATAATGTCAAGAATATTGCAGAACCATTTTGAAACATCAAATATTCCTAAAGCAAAATATTCAATAATAGATTGAATAATTGCAAAACTATTAACTGTTATACATATTGTAATCCATAAATCTATATGAAAGGGCATAACAAAATATAATGATTTGGGAATTTCAATTTGATTTGGTACCATCAGTAAGTAAATGTTATGACGTATTGATTTCGAATATTTTATTTCATCAAATTTATCCGAAATTGGATATGGTCCAAGTGATATATCTATTTCCTTCTTTTCTAAACAATTTACACTGTACTGTGGATCGGTAATTTGAAATTTTGTTAAATTGAAAACGTCATGTAAACTTGCATTCCTTAAATTAATAAATTCTTTGAACAATTTTAAAGACATACCACCAAAAACAATTTCTTCTCCCGATTCTAATTTTTTAATTATTACTCTTGGTGGATCATTCCTTATTTGTGTTTTTAACTTGTATCCATATAAATTTAATAATTTATTTGGAAAAAATTTATTAATATTAGTTTCTGTAGTTAGATTTATTAGTTTGAATAAGGGAAATGGATTATATGTAAACACTTGATACATAGAATTTTCACTTTTACTTAACCAAAATATTGCAACAATATTTAAAACTCCAAAAAGCCAAAATTTTTTAAAAATTTCATTAATATCATCTAAACTTAAATTATAAATAGCAATGATTAAAATTGTTTTGGAACCACCATTGAATCCCCTGGTAAAGTCTCGAAATAAATTAAAAATGTTATCATTTCTGTCTCTTAAAATTATTAAATTAAGGAAAAATTTATTTAGATTTTCTTTTGCTTTAACATTTCTCATTATTGAAGACATTTCTCATTATTGAAGATAACTGGTATTTTCCATAAAATATTTTCAATATGTAATTCTTTACTGAAATTTTGTTTTTTATTGCTCAGAATTTGATTTTCAAAAATAATTAAAGTCTCAATTCTATAAGATTGTATTGAAAATTCAATTATATTTAAAATTGATTTCGTTTGCTTAATTTGAATTGCAAAACTTTCGCAACAAGATCTCAACAAAATTAAAATTAAAACTACTTTCATTGTTTTTTAGTTTTTGACTGAAATTGGGCTTGGACATTTAATTTTTTATCGAATTTTATAATTAATCACTGTAGTTAAAAGTATTAATAACTACACTTACGCAAATAATAATAAAAGTAAACAAAGTTGAACAAAACCATTAGTTTTTAATGCAGCACTTTTCCCTTATACAGGATATAATGTTCTTGAAAACAGTGTACTACATGAATTATAACTTTCATTCATAAAGCTTGCAGTTGTGAAAATATAATGCACTGAACATTAAAATTTTATTAATTTCGAGAGGCGATAATGCAATGAACTATTTTTTATAGCTCATTTCGAAAGCTACTATAATGTAATAGTTTTAGACAACTTGCCGTCTAAAAGAAAAATAATACAAAAAATTTTAACAAAACAATAACTGTACATGACCATACTGTATCGAAGTAGAAGAAGACAATTACTACTTTTGTAGGCCTTTGGAGAAGCTTCTAAAAAAGACCTATTTGCATACAAAATTTCAGCTTTCTTAATGTAAAAGCTTTGTAAATACAATTGAAACGTATCAGCTGTTGAACCAACCTTATGTTTATGATTTCACGATTTTAATATACATAACATCATATGGTATACATGTATGTATGTATATATTTATGTGAATACATGCAACCAAACGGAATCACCCTACTTCTTTCAGATTCTATTTTTTGGAAACCAGAAGCTTTGTATAGCGAAATATGCTTTCTTAAAAGCTATTTTTATATGCAATAAAGTGTTCTTTGTATTATCATTCAATGTTTATTTACCTAAAAGCAAAATACATACAATGAAAAACAAAATGAATTTAAATGCAAATAAAAGTGTTAATAGTAATCAATCATTCATATTTACATGAAAACACTTTCACATCGGGTAAATCTGGTAAAAAGCGAACTCTTTAAAAATTGGAAATTATTAAAAAGTTTGATTGATTATTTTGTAAATTGAAAACATTGTAAACAAATCAAGTAATACTTATAAAGAAACATTAGAAATTTATATGCAAAGTAAATGTGAAATCCTGGGAAACTCTCATACAAAATTCCATTTGAAAACTTCTGTCAATAACCTCGGAGTTGTTGAGAATCTTATATTCCTTTAAAAACGAGAAAAAAAATAGAGTTGACCTTGTCAACTCTGCGATACCCGTACGAATTTGTTATCCTATGTGCGAATAAATAAGCCATAACTGACTATGGGACAGACAATGACTTTAATTTAGTACTGTGTTTTTCAAAATACTGTGTATGCCCACAATTGAAGTTGTATGGCAGCTTTCCGAAACAGCCAAAAAATTTTAACGAATTTTATCAAGCACTTCGGCCCTACTAATATATTCGCTTGTGTGAAATATCAATATTACAGCTTTTATAGTTTCTGAGATACAGCCAAATAACACTTGAAGTTGTATGGCAGGTACCAGAAGGAGCCAAGTAATTTGAACGACTTTTATCAGACACATTAGCCCTGCTAATATATTCGTTCGTGTGAAATTTCAATACCATAGCTTTTATAGTTTCTGAGATATAGCTACCCGAACCGGTACCCCGATCATGTCCCATTTAAATAGGGTTCTGGAACTTACTACAATAAATCATTTGTGAAAATTTGGTGAACTTAGCTCAATTAGTTTTTGAGTTATCGTTGGGACGAACGGACGGACGGACGGACAGACAAAGCTAAATCAACTCAGAATTCGACGCTGATCAAAAACATACACTTGAGTCTATATCTAAGACCGTTATTTCTCAGCGTTACAAACGGTAAGGCAAATTTAGTATCCCCTTCGAACATATGTTCGTACGGGTATAAAAATGGATTCCAAAGAATAATTTCTATTCCACAGGTTATTAATAATTTCGATTAATTAGTTTTTCTTTTTTTTTTAAATTAGAGAAGACCCAATTAGAAAATTCAATCGCGTTATGGATTTTTCATTACGCCTGGCCAATGTTTAGCCCTTTAGTCAGAATTATGTTTATATTTATGGCGTCCCAAGTCAAGGTGGAACAGCATATGCCGATGACTGCGTGGCTAAGGGGGAGCTTAGTCGTTAGTATGCGGACTCTGGATACCAGGCGCCCTCCAGTTTGAATGAGCCTTCCCATGGTATGCCGGGCTCTGCCATGGGTGACTTTACTTTCCCGCGCTACTCGTGGGACAGAAATGGAAAACAACAACAACAACAACAAGACAAATAACAACAGTGACAACAACAACAACGACACTAAGGACAACATACAACCACTTAGTGCTCAAGGGTCTTCGGAACCAGAGCTTCTCTCAACTGACGCAGAGGAGGAACTCCTACTCACGCCAGTGGAGGAAAAGGCTTCGCCTCCGATGGAGACGGATAATCAGGATCCTCTTGGACCTATTATCCAAAAAACTGAGGAGGACCTGAAAAGGTTGGACATCAGGGGAAAAAAACAATATTTCTCTGGTGCATCCAAGCGGCGTATCGCGGCTTATATCAGGGATGGCATGTCCCCAGAGGAAGCTCGCAGATACGAGAAGGAAAGGCTGGAACAGCTGAAGGCCTGCGGATCGGTTGTTGTGGCCGACCATCCCCAAAAGAGGGAAAGGTCGGAAAGCAACACCCCTGATGCAGGGCCCTCAAAGAAGAGGTCGATGAAGGGCAATGTTGAGGAAAAGGTCCCTGGGAACATTCCTCAACAAAATCCGAAAATGACTTCTTATCGGGATGCAGTAGCACAGGTCAAGGTGGCCATCACTCATAGACTGCATCCAGAGGAAAGGCTATCCGAAGTCCAGATGGGGAAAATCAAAGTAGCCATCATGGATGAAATGGATAGGATTGTGGACTCTCATCCACAATTCACTGCAGCGTTGCAAAGGGACGGATGGATATCCGTAACATGCAACAATCAAGACACCAGGGAGTGGATAACCAGTGTCTGCAGGAAGATAAAGCCTTGGGACGGTTGCGATGTCGTGGTACTGGATGGCGACAGCATGCCCAAACAGCATGTCTGCGTCACCTACGTACCAAAGGACGAGACAACCGTCAGTCTCTCCAGGGACAAATTTCTAAGTAGGATAGGGAAGCAAAATCCCAGCCTCAAGATAAGTTCCTGGAGGGTGCTGAGGATGGATAAGGAAAAGGACGGGGGCTGCTCCATCACCTTTTCCGTGGATGATTCCGGATTGGAAGATCTACGGAAAGCGGAGTTCCGACTTTTCCTGAATTTCTTCCGTGTTACCGTTCGGGTTAAAGGAAGGAAATCCTCTCAAGGTGCTGGCGGCAGGGCAGGACAAAATAAAAAACCAGTGCCCACCGCGACAACGACAACGACGAGCACTTCAGGCCAACCAAAAGAGCCAAAACTCATTGGAAAGCCTGAAGTCGCTCCGAAAATGGCGGCAAGGGAAACGGAAGGACCATCGACCAGCACGCCAAATACAAGCGTCCCGGGGGAACCAAAAGGGCTCAAGCCCATTGGGAAGCCCGGAAATGCTTCGGTATTTGCTGTTGCAGGGGCTAGCGTGGCACCTGGGGCGGCAAAAGAGGCTGTGGCAGGGCAGGCGCCCACCAAGATGTGTAAAAAGGCGAAAATGGGAGGTAAGGCTCATGTAAAGCCTTTGTCTAAAGGGCCAAAGCCCATAGACAAGAGCCGGAGGAAATAATATGGCTGTGAGGTGCATCCAAATAAATCTACAGCATGCTAGGGCATCTACTGATGTTCTGGCTCATAGATTTATGAAGGATCACCTCGATATCGCCCTTATCCAAGAGCCTTACATAGTGAAGGATCAGGTTAAGGGCCTAACAGGTGAGCTATTGTATGATAATACAACTGGGGGCAGGCCTAGGGCTTGCATCTTGTTTAGTAAAAAGCTAACGTATTTTCCCATTCCAGATTACTGTTCTAAGGATCAGGTAGCTGCGTTGGTGAAGGTGAAGTCCTGCGGGGGCTGGACAGAGTTCATTGTTTGCTCATCCTACCTCCCGGGGGACTGTGCCCACCCGGACGAGCAACTGAAGGATCTAGTGGACTTTTGTGGAAGGAGGAACTTCCAACTTATAATAGGAAGTGATGCCAATGCCCACCACACCGTCTGGGGAAGCAGCAATATAAACAAAAGAGGTGAGTGCCTACTTGAATTTATATATAGCAATAAATTAATGATTATGAATGAAGGCAATAGGCCGACATTCATAAATGCAATTAGGGAAGAGGTCCTTGACATCACCCTTTGCACTGAATTTATCGGCAGTAGGGTTGGTGGATGGCATGTCTCAAATGAGACATCCATGTCCGATCATAGGCAGATTAGGTTTGATATCATGGTCTCCGGGGGCCTGGCAGAAGAAATATATCGGGTGCCCCAATCCAC